GAAAACCATGAACAGGACATTAGCTAGCTCAGATACTGCCAGAACTTTCTATTCACTGCCCTTCCACAATCAGAGTCAATCTGGTATTTATTCCATAATCCACTGAGCCTAAACTTCATTACACACATTCTCCCAGAATGGATCTATAATAAATGATGAAGAGAAGCTAGTATGTTTGTAGGGAGTCTGCTCATCTTAAAAGTTGAAACACAGAACAGATACCTTCCCATGCTTTCCTTTGGGGTAACTTTAAAGACAGAGAAGACTGCAGTTTTATCCAGAATAAGAAATCTGGTCAAACTCACTTGATTCGGCAAGGAAGTTTGGTGACAAGCAACAGAGGTCAGCAACAGCAAGCTCAGTCACCAACGGCTTTGTCCTTACCTGGCCTTCAGAACAAGCCAACCCATCATCTAAACCCACTCCTCAGAATCAGTCCAGCAGAAACCACCAGGGTTCTTTAAACTGGACACAGAATCAGGAAACGTGTAGCTGATTAGATCCACAGCCACCATGGGGGTAATCTCTCTGCCTTGTTTTTATCATGCAAAGCAGCATGGGCAAGACCATACTGACTGTTGAGCTCATCATTCTGGCCATCCCCGGAATGCAGACCTTAGCATCCTGGTTCTGTTCTACCCAGGTCCTAAGCGAAGGTTAGAGCTGGTCAGAGGGATTCATCCCCACCAGGGCAAGGTTGGCTCACCCTGACCAATCCAGTAGCCTCACCTAGCCTGGCCCTCTCTGTGCTCATGCAGGGGAAGGAACCCCGTGAGACTGGGAGCCACACATGTCCCCTTTCTGCATCTCAGTCAAGAAATAAGGGCAAGAAGAAGGCCATGGTCCCTGTGTAGAGGTGACAGCAACCCCAAAGGGAATACTTACGACTGACAGCAACTTTCTACAATGAGACAATGTTCAAAGCACTGTTTTTATGAGGGGCCTGTGTCCTTACTCCCAATCTGTAGAGTTTCACCGAAAAACAGCTATATTGCAGTCCCTTTATTTGATAAAAATTCTAAGAAATAAACCGAGATCAGAGGAACCTGAACAGAAGACTGTGGGCCATCTTAAGACATGGCCACTGCACCACCGATTTAAACAAAAGACTGTCACAGTTCACCAACATTTCTCTTCATTTAGTCTTCAAATTAAACAGAAAAAACAGTGTTCAGGTGGGAATATAAAATGGTACCACCGCTGTGTAAAACAGTCAGCAGTTCCACACCAAAAAAAAGAAAAATTAAAGCTAGGCCTACCATGTGATCCAGCAATTCTTCTGGGTGTACACCGAAAGACATGAATGTAGGGACCCAAAGAGACACCTACGCATTCATCAAGTTCACAGCTGCATTGTTCACAATACTCCAAAGAAACAACCACCCGACTATCCATCAACAGATGAAAGGAAAAACAAAATGCAACACATCTACACACTCAATGTTATTTAGTTTTAAAAGAAATTAAATTGTGACATAGGCTATACCAGGGGTAAACCCTGAAGACTTTAGGCTACACAAAATAATCCAGACACAGAAGGACAAAGCCTGGATGACTCTACTCATCAGAGGAACCTACAGCAGTCGAAATCATTGGAGGAAGTAGAACGGTGAGGGCTGGTTGAAAAGGAGAACGTGAAATTACTGTTTAATGAGTACAGAGCTGCGGTTTGGGAGGATGAACAAATCCTGCAGATGGATGCTGCAGATGGCCACACAGCAAGAGGAAGGTAATTAATGTCACTGAATTCTACCATTAAAAACTTAAAACAGTAAATTTTATGTTGTGACTGTTATACCATAACACAAAAATCATGATCAAAAGTCAAAAGGAAGTTTTTATCAAAGCAGCAGAGAAGTAAATAAAGAACAGCCATTTTTAGAGATGATCCATCCCATGGGATCATTCGACCCCACAAACTCCCATGATGACTTTAGCGTCTGCCAAGGCCCTCGGCACTGCCGTACCACCAACCCTGCTCTAAGGAAGCAGTGCTGCTGTGTGCTAGCTCTTCACCTTGGCAGACTTCCAGGTACAAGGTAGGCAGGAGGAATGCATCTTTCCCACGTGTCTGAAATTTCAGGTTATATCTATGCTTTAACCCAAGCAACTGCGACTTTGTAAAGAGCCAATTCTTCTAGGATAATCAACACTGGCAAATTAACACCTTGGGGAGATGTGTACACTCAGATAAGCAAACCTGCCAAGCTAGATCGAGTTTCCCCAACGCCACTTTCCAAGTGTCAGTGGAAAGAGGAAGAAAAACAGGTGAACAACCACTCACCTGTACAAGGCTCTGTTTGACTGAACTTGAACCTCACACCTGACTCCAGGGACTGACTCCAGGGGAGGGCTCGGGAAATGTCCTATGCGCTCCCTGGAACTGCGCATGGTCTAGAACAGTGGTGGAGAATCTACAGCACGTATTACTGCGCTTTTCTTTTCAGACAAAAGATGTTAATGTGTGAGCTACCTTTTCTACACTAAAACCTCAGTATGCAGATTTCATGGCAGGGTTGGCACTTTTTGACAAATAAGTGGATTTGGGGTTGCAGTTTGGGCACTCAGCCTCTAAAACATTCTGAACTAGAAACAAAAACCTGCTCAATGTATAGGGAAACCTAGGTACCCGCCTATAAGGTAGAGAGAGCGCAACGGACTCACAGTGACAACACAAAGACCCTCTGATGAAAGCGTACAGACACTGCCCCATGTGACAGATGAGGAAAGTGGGTGTATTTGAAACAGCAACCACAGGTCACAAGATGCCACACAGACCCAGAAAGACTTGTAAAGACTACTCAAAGGAGGACATGAAGGAAACTGTCTGCATTTGCTACGAAAATGATCTACAATGAACAGAAGCCCTGGGTAAGTCAAGGGAGATAAAAGAAGTGATAGTATAAATTGTTTGGTCCTGATCTTTATTTTTAATAAGGACTTGAAAACAAACTTTTTAAATAGAAATACAGGGCTGGGGATATAGCTCAGGGGCATAAGTGCCTGCCTGGCAAGTGCAAGGTCCTGAGTTTGATTTCCGGTACCAAAATAAATAAATAAATAAATACAAACAGCTGGGGAAAACAGAGGCCCAGGACGGAGTTTACAAAGAGTCCATCTCCTGACACGCTCTATCTCTGTAGCAACTCCCTTTTAAGGATAGCCGAGGGGCTGGGGATTTAGCTCAGCGGCAAAGCGCCTGCCTGGCAAGCGCAAGGTCGTGAGTTCGGTTCCCGGTACCGGAGAAAAACCAAAAAACAAA